CGAACTTGGAAGACTCCCCTTTTCTTTATCCATGTCCTGGAATAATAATATTAAGAATATTTGTCTTCTGAACGAGTTATGTGAAAATATTTTGAGGACTGTAAGATGCACTGTGAAGGCAGCGTTATAAGCAATGAGGAGTTCAGAGCTGTGAGAGACCAAGGTAGACTTGCCGAGGAGAAGACCGAGAACAGCCTCTGTAGGGGGTAGAACTTTGACAGAAGACACTGGTGGCTGAGGAGCGTGTCCAGAAAGAAGGAGCATGAGCAGAGGTGGGAAAGTGTGACTTGGGGAGCAGATTGATCCCAATGGCTGTGATGGGGACTTACTGTGTCTCCTCCAGCCCGTATGTGGGGTCGAGTCCAAATCAAAGTGACTCGAGGGATTTGGTGCAGGAAAGTATCAATATACCTATCATCATCGTGCAGATATTATTATTTTTATTTTTGGAAGGCCTTTAAGGCACGTTACCTCTGGAATCTTCTAGCAAATATCTGTCGCATTGAGCAGGGAGGAAAAAGCAGCTTTACTGGAACAGATGTTAGCACTTCAGCCGTTCCCCCGCTTGTCCTCTTTGGTTTATTTCTTTTGCATGTATAAAAGTTAAAAAATAGCAGATTCAGATAAAGGTGGTAGTGCATCCAAAGAGTGATGCCAAAACATCCGTCAGTTTAAACTTAGGACTTTATTAATAGATGAAAGCTACCCGGCACTTCAGTCTGTATCTACTTTACATTGACTTCCATGCCTGTTCGGCAGGGAGAGCAGAGTAGATTTTTGACCCCATCTGCTTAATAGTAATTCCATTCCTATGGGTTCCTAATGGCTTTGGTAAAGTATAACTGCGTTCCATGCTGTTTCTGTTTGGGGTTAGACAATATATTCAGTTCTGAAAACTTGAAGGGAAAAAAAACAACAAAATGCTGACAATCTGCCTGGTTTTAATCCCACTTGCCTTTTGCAGCTCATAAAACTCTTAGAGCTAAGCTTCCACAGGGGATCAGAGAACATTGTTGGTGTGTGGCCACTGCTGTGGTGTCCTTTGCCATAGAGCAGCATTTGGTCTTCATCCATCAGTCCAGACCTATCTCACTAGGAGGAGTTAGTTCCTGACATTTCCCAGGGACGTCTTTGAGGCAGGCTCATGGGATGAGAGCGACAGGAAGTGTGTGCACCATGTCATACACTGTACTAGTTTTGCTACTTGGATCATCCTAAGCATACAGTTTTAATCAAAATTATGGTATAATATAATATTTAAGAAGTAGGGATTTGATAGGTCTGCACTTTTTAGGAAACCAATAAATCCATTCATTTATTCATTCAACAAATATTTAGTAAGGACTGGGATTGTTCTAGCAATGAATAATATAAGGTCCCTGCCTTCAATGAACCTACATTCTAGTAGGGTAACAGACCACAAACAAATCCACAAATATGTGTGTAATATAATACCACATGATAATTCTGACTTTTGGGAGAAGATTGAAAAGGATAAGGCAGTAGATCTGGGGAGATTATGCTGTTTCATTTATTTATTTATTTATTTTACATTTGAGTATAGTTGACACACAATGTGACCTTAGTTTCCAGTGTACAACTTAACGATTTGACAAGTTTATACATTACGCTGTGTTCACCACAAGTATAGTTACCATCTGCCCTATTGCACTGGTGTTACAGTATCAGTGTATTCCTTCTTACGCGCTGCTCTCAGTCCTGTGACTTACTCACTCCATAACTGGAGGCCTGTATCTCCCACTCCCCTTCACCCATCCCTTCACCCTTTGGCCCAACCCCCTCCCCCCTCCCTCCTGGCAACCATCAAGTTTGTTCTCTGTATTTATAGTTCTGACTCTGCTTTTTGTTTGCTTATTCAGATTACTTGTCTTTGTGGTGTTGAGTTGTATAAGTTCTTTATATATTTTGGATATTAACCCCTTATTGGATATGGCATTTGCAGATATCTTCTCCCATTCGGTAGGTTGTCTTTTTGTTTTCTTGATGGTTTCCTTTGCTGTGCAAAAGCCTTTTATTTTTGGTGTAGTCCCGTTAGTTTATTTTTGCTTTTGTTTCCTTTGCCCCAGGAGACATATCTAGAAAAATATTGCTATGGCTGATGTTAGAGAAATGACTGCCTCTGCTTTCTTCTAGGATTTTTTATGGTTTCAGGTCTCAGTATAGATCGTTAATCCACTTTGAGTTTATTTTCGTGGATGGTGTTAGAAGGTGGTCCAGTTTCATTCTTTTTTGCATGTTGCTGTCCAGTTTTCCCAGCACCATTTGTTGAAGAGATTGTATTTTTCCCATTTTACATTCTTGCCTCCTTTGTCAGAGATTAATTGACCATATAAATGTGGGTTTATTTCTGGGCTGTCTATTTCTGTTCCGTTGATCTGTGAGTCTATTTTGTGCCAGTACCACACTGTTTTGATTACTACAGCTTTGTAGTAGGGATGGTGGTACCTCTAGTTTTGTTCTTCCTCAGGATTGCTTTGGCTATTTGGGATCTTCTGTGTTTCCCTACAAATTTTAGTATCATTTTTTCTGGTGTTGTGAAAAATGCTGTTGATATTTTGATAGGGATTGCATTGAATCTGTAGATTGCTTAGGGTCATATGGACATTTTGACAATGTTAATTCTTCCAGTCCTTTAGCATGGAATCTCTTTCCATTTGTTTGCATCATTTTCAATTTCTTTTATCAGTGTTTTATAGTTTTCAGAGTACAGGTTGTTTACTTCTTTGGTTATGTTTATTCCTAGGTATTGAGATTAGGCTGTTTTAGAATATTCAGGAAAGGCATCTTTGGAGAGATGACACCTCTTTCTGCTTTGAAGAGCAGAAATATGAAAGAAGCGAGGAAGTGAGGCTTCCAAATATCTGGAAAAAGGCATTCAAGGGAGCGGGAACAGCTGGTGCAAAGGCCCTGTGGTAGGATGAAACTGGCATATTTGAGGAATGGTAAGAAGTTTGGTGTGACTGGAGTGCATTGAACAAGAGGGGAAGCAGATGGTAGCAGATGGGGCCAGCGAGATAGCCAGGCACCAGATCAGTCAGGGCCTCATAGACTACACTGAGGATATAAGGTTATGTTCTACATTCAATGGGAAGTCACTTTTACATTACTCACTTTAGCAGCAGTAGGCAGAGTGGAGTGTAGGAGCATAGGAGCAAACAGAGAAATGCAGAAGTCATGGCAAGATATAGATGACAGACCTGTGTGGATCTGATCGGGGTCGTTAATGGACTCATAGGAAGCAACTGGGACAAAGAGTATTTTGACAGTTGACATGATTTGCTAATGGGTGAATTTGGGATGTGGTTCTCAGGGGAACAGCTCTGTTCTAATTTTCTACTTAAAGATGCCCACGGGCCACAGTCACTAACCCCAACACTGACCCCATCACCCCAGAATGACTATGACCCATGGCAGCTGAGTCCACAGCCCCTTCATGAAGGTGAAGAATCATCAAAACCTTAAATGGCTTTCATAATTTAAAATACAAGTTTAAATTTTAAATGTGATACAGTTTTGGTGAAGAATAAAGATGTTGCTTGTTTTGTATCACCTTTTCTTAAACCTTTCCTTAGCAACCTTTCAAAACCATAGCAGATGTTCCTTAGAAAAATAAACTAAATTGCAATTTCCAGCAAAAACAGACCCATTACCATGGGCTCATTATGAACTTCATTATTTAGCATATTGGAAAGATCGTGTTTAATTTACAGTTTCTTCTGCAGGAGAAGAATCCTAGATAAAATCAGTATGGTTAATGGTGTAAAGGAAGCAAACAATAAAAATTCAGGGTTTCTTCTCATCAGTGCTGGTATTTGAAATTTTAACTAATTTTCTTGTAGAAATAATACTCAGTGTTGGGTGGACTCACTTTGGATTTTCTATTTGCTTTCCTTTTGTTATTATTTCTTCCTTCCTCTAAGGCTGTTTATCAGATTTTCCCCCTGCAAAAATAGTTCGACATACTTTATACGGCTTCTAATTTTTTCTAAGGCAATTATGTTATTGCAACTAGGATATTGCTATAAAAAATTGTGCAAAATTGCAATAATGTGATTTTTTGGGTGTCAACCATTTCTTGATCTTTTCCTGAATTGAATAATTATTCCAGGAATCTGTTCTACTCTAAATTAGCTGTATTACTGGATATTTTCTTGTTCTTTAAGATTACATTTAGAGCCTATGATTAGATGTATTTCATTGCACTGAAATTTAAACTTTGATATTAAAACTGTGTCAGCTCTTGTTTTGTATCTATGAACACATGAAGTTATTAAAAAGCGTATTGTTCAGAGTGTTTCTACATTTCTAAAGCCAGTATGGTTTTATTTTGGAATACAAAGACAAGACTAGCCCCCTGGTGACTGATTTCCTCATACGAAGATGTAACATTCCGCTGGTTCATGGAGCTGGTAGCTTTGCTGGTAGCAAGGTGTCAGTGGTTGGTTTTATGACTTGATAGTAAGATTGTTATTCTTCAGCTGACACAAGTTGCTCAGATTCTCCCTTATTGATAAGGACATAATAATGTTTTACTTCTCCCAAAAAGAAGAAGTTTTCTAGACTCTTTAGGATTATAGGACTCTTCTGTTCTGGGATGGAAGAGATTCTGTGGCTAAAATTCATCTTTTGACCACACGGGTCCACCCACCCTGAATGTTGGGCATTCATGCACTTAACCCAACATCATTAACAGTAATGGCGGCCAGTTTCCTTCAGGGTATGTACGTGCTAGAAGGGAAGACCAAGAAGGTAATTATATGAAACAGTAAGAAGACAACTCAGTATAAGCAGGAACACCATGGCTATGAGCTCACTGCTTCACATGAGTGCTGAGAGTGGGTAAGAGCCATTAGCCTTGGAGGACATGAGTTGGCTCGGTTGAGAAGATACCTTGAGAGGAATTTAATTAATAGCAACTCTGCTGAACGATCCTGTTCAGGGGTTCCAAAACCTGTCTTGGCAATAAAGCTTGTGCTCACAATCCCAGGTTTCTGAATGTTGTCCCTGCTGCCTGAGTCCCCACCTCTCACCACTCACCCATCCCCCAGCGTGGTGCGCTAACGGCTGCTCAGGTTCATCTACAAGCTTCCTCTTTGTGCTGTTGGCCAGTCCCTCCTCACGTCTAGCATCCAGTAGCATCTCAGGGATGCTATTCACATCTCATGGTCTTTTGTTGCTTTAGTTTGTTTGCTTATAAACCACATAACGGACCACATAACCTCTATCAGGAGGCTTTTGGTTGAAGTAACAGAAAGCCAGGTGCACATTGGTTTAAGCAACAAGGAAATTTATTGGTTTGCCTAAGTTGGCACCCTGAGACAGAGTGGATCAATGTTGGTTCATCTGGCAGCTCAGCAGTGTGATCAAGGACCCGGATTGTTCCATCTGTCTGCTTTGCCTTCCGTGATGATAACGTCGTTCTACAATTGTTCTCCTTGTGGACTTAGGATGGTTGCTGCAGGTGGACTTGCTCGCTGCCTCTCTTACTTCTAGGGTCAGACAAATTCTGCCTTGCTGTTGCTGACTATAAGAATAGGGAAAGATCTTCCCAGAAGCCTCCAGTGGGCCTCTCTTTGCATCTCTTTAAACAGATTTCACCCTGCACCACTGACTGGCAGGAGAGGATCCCCTTAGATCATGTGTACCCACCGTTTAAGCTGAGCTCAAGTCCCCAGGCTACAGGCTGCTGATTAGTGTGGGCACAGTTTAATGACTTGCAGAGCCAAGGGCTGTATCCATTCCATAAGACTCAGAGCCACCAGCGTTTTGTAAGATACTGTGGGTCTTATTTTCCAACACCCCTAAGCAGGATTTGGGGCTGGTGAATAGTTTGACACGCCGTGCTACCAAATGAATTGCCTAAAATTCTTAGGAGCCAGGTGGTAGACAATCTGAAAACATGAAAACATGCTCAGCCTCATTAGTAATCAGGGAAATGTAAATTAGGATCACAATGACATACTATTCTACTCCCACTAAATTGGCAAGGATTAAGACATCTGAGAGTCCAAGTGTCAGCAAGTGATGTGTGTGTGGAAGTAGGACCTCTCAGGTACTGCTGGGGGGAGGGGTGGTGGTGTCATCTGGTCTCACCACTTTGGGAAAAAAGTTGGTATTATCTTGTAAAGCAGAACATGCCTGTACCCTTCGACTCAACTGAAGAAACATATATTTTATGATTTCTTCAAGAGACATGTTCGAGAATGTTTTTGACAATAATGTTCATCATAGCAAAAAACTAGAAACAATCTAAATGTCCCAGGACAGGAGGACAAATAAATGCACTGTGGTGTATTCGCACAATGGACGGCCATACAGCAGTGAAAATGAAGGAACTACAACCACATGCAATGACATGGATGTATCTTCAAAATTGAATATTCGATATAGAAAAAAGCAAGTTCCCAAAGATCACACACAGTAAAATATTGTGTTTATGAAACTCAAAAGCAAGTAGATTTAAGCAGTATATTGTTAGGATGCAATCCCTATGTGGTAAACCTATGTTTAAAAGCAAGGGTGGTTGGGGCACCTGGATGGTGCAGTCGGTTAAGCGTCCAGCTGTTGATTTCGGCTCAGGTTATGACCTCAGGGTTGTGAGATCGAGCCTTGCGTCAGGATCCTCACTCAGCGGGGAGTCGGCTTGAGGTTCTCTCTCTCCCTCTCCCTCTGCTCCTCCCCCCCACCCACTCTCTCTCTCACATAAATAAATACAATCTTTAAAAGCAAGGGTGGTTATCTGGGGAGGGTTAGTCTGGAAGGTGGGATCTGGGAAAGGCACCAAGTTGACTCCAGTGATAATTGGTAATGAGTTCTGACTTTCAGTTGTATAGTAGGATTGGGGGTGGGGGATGTTTTCTTTGGACCCTCATAACCTCCTATCTATCCACCCATCATCCATATCAAATACCACATAATAATTTTTAAAGTAGAGGCTCACTGAGCTCTTAAGTAAATGTGACTCGTTGCCATTGGGTGACAAAGTAACAGGATTCTTTTAAGAGGAAGCCGTGTCTGATGGATCAGTTAATATCCCGTCAGGGAACAAATCGTCATATGGTTGGGGGAACCAGTGGCTGGCATCTACTTAGACCTTGAAAAAGTCTCTGATTAACGACTCTATCATAAGTTACTAAAACCCTGATGTCATTGTGGGTCGGGGAAATATTTACTCATGGATAGGGAGGCAGCAATCAGAGGTAATAAATAAATAAATGGGAGTTCAATGAGTCTTTATCTATGTGTAGAGGTGTAAGCTTGCCGTTTCTGTAGTGATCAGTCAATATTTCCCTTATCGTGTATTTTTAATGAATGATTTGGAAGAGGAACGCACGAGCAAGAGAATCCCCTGGTGAGAGGGAGCTCCACGTGCAGCCAGGTGGTGAAATGCCGAGCACGTGAGGTTGAAGGTCAAGATCAGGGCTTGTGTGACTCAGAAACACAGCGGACCAGCTTTAGTGTGGACAGCATACCTGTTCAGTGATTTCCACTTCTGGTTAAATTCCCCTCTGGGCATGGATGCTTGGTGGGAAGACATGGTCGCTTCTGTGGTTAAGAGCTCTTGCCAACTGAGCCCATAATAGAGTCCCTAAATGGTTAAAGAACAGGTGTCATTCCTGGTAAAGGTGGGACTTGTGGTGTCATTCACTTTGATTCGGCACAATCTTTTAATCCCCTGTGAGAAACTTGCCATGACTCACTCAAAATGTAAAGACAGACCGAGCCCAGTGTTCGAGTCCCTGTCTAATCGCCAGTGACTGTGATGAACAACTGTGATGCTCTCAGCCTCTTTTGGTTTACCCTTCAGTAAAAGGAAAAGGTGATGATTTCTGACATGTCTTTCAGATCCAATGTTCTGTGACTCTGGGCATCTCTTCGTAAAGAACCACAAGTCCTCCCACCCCTCCTAGAGTCAGCAGAGGCTAACATGGCCTGCCTGCCCTCTGACTCACACCGTTATTTGTGCTTCCATTGGGTGGGAACTCCCCATTTGTGAGTTACAACGCAGACCTCTATAATTGTCTACGTTATTTCTCAGTTGTATTAATTATGTTCCAGGTACCTGTCCCCAGACCATGCAAAGGATAGTAAACTTGGCAATGACAAGCTAGAACTTTCCAGAGTCTTTCCAGAACATATTAGATACAGTACTTAGATGGTGTGTGGAAAAAGCCCATTAACTTTGGTGAGCTCGCTTATGTAAAACTTATCAATAGATACGTTTTATAGGGGCCTAAGGGGAATGTTTGGTGAGCTATTGTCTGTAGCTAACTAAAGGAGAACCAGCTCTCTGGATCTTGTGGAGGAGGTACCACTGTGCTTGCCCAAGGCTTCCTGGGTCCTTCACCCAGAGTGAGTGAGACCACTGAGAACCTGGGTGCCCTGAGCATCCTACTCATTTGTTTTTTAATTTTATTTTATTATGTTAGTCACCATGCATCACATCATGAATTTTTGATGTCGTGTTCCATGATCCATCGTTTGCGCGTAACACCCAGTGCTCCACGCAGAACGTGCCCTCCCTAATACC